CAAGAAAAATATTCGAGATGAAATGGTAGCAAGGACTAGGAAAGCAAATACCGCCATGAGTTCTATGATGGGTATAGCCAATAGGGCCAATTATAGGCCCAATATTTACAGTGACAATAGAAAATAGGAACATGCAGTAGTATTAAAATCTTGTATATAAACTATTATATATTCAGTTCACTGTATATATCATTCATAAATTTAAAACACATAGGCGAGTATTAAAAAGGCATACGTATGAGAAAAAAGTATAAATACCTGAATTTAAAAGTTATGTTTTTAATTGCCTTCGAGTTGATGTTGCTTGATGATGGCTTACTCGACTTGTCATTGTAGTTGATAAATTTCTTGTACATCCATCCACAGGTCATAGACATCATTGTGCAGGGAAATGGTCTTCCAAATCGCACTTCGTACGTACGTTCTCGTTAGGTACTAGGTAGCCTCCCTCACGCTTGCGTTTCCTCCCAGAACCACGTCTTTTCCCACCGTGCGTACCACTTTCAGGCGCTTGAAAAGATGGGCCAGGCTCACTGGCTCAGTAGGACAACGCAAGTTATCTTCACTGTCAGTTTTAGAGCTTTCCATAGCATTGAACGCATGTAAAAATGTGAAATTCGGCCAATACCGCTCGATGATTCATCTGCACAGACGGGTATCAAATTACACTTCGCATACATAATAACTGTGATAATTCGGAACATCCGGAGATCAAATTATTAGCCTTGATTTCGCACAAATATACATCATTATATAACTGATTTTAAACACGTAAAACTTTCTTTACCCATTAGTACTGTAGACTGTATATACGATAGCCTGCGAACAGGCTCTCAAGCTGAATTGAGAGCCTGCATCGATGACTAATGAATTTGAATATCTGCCCCGTAACGTTCGTTTTTCCAAATATGGAATGTCTATCCTTATATGGTGTTGTTTACAACTTTCGTGCAAACTAAATTTAGACCGTGCAAACTAAATTTAGACTGTACAGTTTATACTGTTTTTCGAAATATAAGATATTGAAGCAAAAGTTCCAATGTTTTAAATACTGTTTTCTCAAAACAGAACATTTCGTGCTTTGAGATAAGATGGCCAAGACCAATTTGATCAGTGAATGTGTTTTTATGCATAGTGCAGCTTGCAGTTGACATATATAGAGCTCAGCGGAAACATATAAATTATAGCATCTGACCAATGAGAATTTCGCGTCACGATTTGAGACGCAGATATTCAAATTCATTAGTCATCGATGCAGGCTCTCAATTCAGCTTGAGAGCCTGTTCGCAGGCTATATATACGACGCCATTTTGATTTTTAAAACTTGATTTACAACATTAAGTTTTTCAAGTTTTTGAACGCAATGCGCATGCGCGAATTTGGGTGCACTGTGCCTTTAATGGATGTTTATTTTCCTCTTTATGATTGACTTGTTTTAGTCTGATTTGTTAAACATGTTTATTACTAACACAAAAGATCATCCATGTATTAGCCCCCCGTATATAACCCCCTCCCCCCCCCTCCCTTTGTATAAGCCCATCAAAAATCGCTTACGAAAGTTATAAGCCCAGGGCTTATAGTCGGAGGTTTACGGTATAAGATCCCCTTGGCAAATTAGATAAACATTGTCTGGCGTTAGCCAGAATAAAACAATAAAATAAGGTATATTTGGGATACCATCGTTTTGATTGCGTTAATTTTAAATTCTCCATGAGTTCATGGAAACTATATTATAGTCATACAGTGTTTGTTTGTAGAGGCGAAAAAATTCTCACAATGAGCGCGGTTTGACAGACTGGTGCCTAGATTTCCTACCGCACGCGCAAAGCTTTCTGGGATAGCATCATCACACTGACACGCCATGTTTTTGAAATTTATATTTTCATGTTTATCGCCTACAAACATTCGCTTTTTAACCGATGTTAATACATTTTAAAGAATATGAAATATCAGGGATCACCGAGTAATATTCAGGTAAGAATATTGTTATGTTTTATACATAATAGAGCAATTTAGAAAGGAAATATTTACTATCTTCATTCGTGAATTTCGAGCGTGTGTTCCAGCTTAAAATTTGAATATTTGCCGCGACAATATTTGAATTAAAACGATGATATAATTATAAAAGGCTTACATTTGACCAGCCTATAAAAATTAAATCAAATTAGATTTATTGTAAATGCCAAATAGTGTAGAACTTTGTGTATATGACAAATTGCCAGATTCCAGTGTTTCTTGTATAAAATAATATAGATGCCTACTCAATCCTCAAACAAACATGCTTTGAGAGAATTTATCAACTTGTTTCAAATCAACTGCTACTTTCATGGCAAGGGTGTTGATGTTTTTTAATTACAAATTTGACTCCAATGAACACAATTTTCAGCACATTGTTGAATAACACCGATGTTGTCTGATGCTGGACAATTTTATTCATCAAGGGAAGTGTCTAGCTATAGACTCTTCTCATGTTTCATGTTATTGTTGACATATTTTTTAAAATGGAATTTTCACTCCATCACCTTTTAACACCTACGAAGCAATTTTCTTTTATGTTACCTACTTCAAGTTCTCTGTAGGGATGTGCAGGATAGAATCGTTTTGCTATCCAGCCAGATCATACTGGATATATGTTGAATAGTTAAAAAATATCCAGCCAGATTCAGGGTATTTTGAGCTGATTACATGGACCAGGCTAGCCCGGCAAACCTGGTTAGCTCGATTACTATAATAATCTCATAAAAATTTTGAGTTTCAATTACATATGGCAGCCGGGCCAGCCCGCTTTGCCAGGAATCCTGGCTTTTGCAACCGAGCATATCGGGCTGAAAATTGCAAACACATGGTTTTTATTTTGAAATTATTAACAAATAATAGCACAAAAATCACAAGTTTGCACTAAAGCACTGCTTTTGAGCATTAAATAAACCCTTAAACGTTTTAGATAGTGAATCGACTGGATTTAGTGGATCATAAGCGAAACAATACCTAATACAAATACATCAACAAATACTAATCACAATGTAGGGAAGCCCTAAAATTCCGTATATACTGTAAACATTCTTTAGTTATAATATCCAGCAATGATTATTCAAGTATTAAAACTTTTCAATATAATGAACTTACTTCAGCCCAGTTAACCGGGCAGGCACACTACATGTAATTGTGAATTAAAAGTCATCTTGCTCAGCTGTCCGGTCCATGTAATCGGCCCCTTATTCAAATATATAAGGTCCAGCGGCCTCATTTAAGGTTAAGTAATCATTTTAATTGGTTAAAGAGTAATGGTGTTAATAATACTTTGATTTGAAATAATAGGAATGAATTTCGCAGTCTAGTACTGGTAAACATGCATCATTGGTAGGAAAAGCCTCACTTGCATTAGTTCAAAGGGCAAACCTGCATGTACAAAAATTTGAAAATAGTGTAAGCATTCCTGTGATCAATCCATTGGATAAAAATATGATAAACACCTCACCTTTTTTAACCTAATCAAATCATATTCTAACTTGTAACGAAGGCCTGAACCTTATAGATCGTCGTCTGCCACTTGCTATCTTGCACTTCCGTTGCACATATCGCAAGACTGAACGGCTTCGTTCTTAAAATATGTATTTTCACCTTCTATATCTTTTACAGCAAACCCCCCGGAAATAACCTTGCACAATTTGAAGAATATTGCCCTTAAAATAAATGATTTTTCCTTGTCGTTTGGCGGCCATTTTGAATCTCATTTTTGCTCTGTCAGCAAAAAGTTAGTTGTTGCCATGGTTATAGCCTCAAAATGGCGGGCGATGTTGATATTGAAAATATCGAATTTCATCATGTTTAATTCATTTTGAAGATGTAAGACAATCCACATCGTTGATTTCACAAACACGATTAAACAAGGTGATATCTTGTCGTAAAAGATGGATTAATTTAGAAGGAGATAAGGCTTCTTTGTGCAGAAAAAGTCATGAACTCTTTTCAGATGAGCACTTATTCGCACGAGAGAAATGGTATATGCACGAAAATTGTTATAAGCGAATTAGTGACGAAAATAAGATCAAGAAAGCCGAAGAAAAATTTAGTTCAACACAACTAGAAGCATCTAATGATCAACGGCAACGAATATCTACGCGACATAAGACGTCATGCCACAATGCCGCAAATCAGGCAAGAAATCAATATGTATTGCCAGTCCAGTGTATCATTTGTGAGAAGGATACTGATCAGTTTGTAATGGTGAGTATTTTGAAACTTATACATTATTTCTATATCAGCCTTTGACGTTTATAGACACCACGTACACACACAGAAGACAAAGGGTATTTCAAAATAATATGGTACACTGTATTCCTAAAATTGTGATACTTTTGGAACTCATGTCATGTGGGACTCATAATGATGTTGACCGGCCATTTTGACTGGCGATTTACTGGCCGTTATTTTATGAACAAATACACAAATTTATTAATATATTTATATAAACATTCAAACATATATTATTTTCCTTTCAGAAATCTGGAAAACGAAAGAGAATGTCTTTAATACTATGCGAGACAGAAAATGCAGGAATGCTCCGTGAAGCTGCAACAGCTAAAAAGGATGAAAAAATTCTTCGTAAAATACGTGATAAAGATTGTGTGGCGATAGAGGTACGTTATCATCAGAAGTGTTACAAAAATTACACCAACTTTCTCTATAGACAACAAAAGTGCATTGAGACAGAATCGCCTCTTCTTTATGCTGTTGGCTTTGAGAAATTTTGCCAAGATGTAATTGACCCTCTTGTCAAGCAGAAGAAAATAGAGTACATGTCTTATTTGTATGAAAGATTCATAAAAATTGTCAGTCAAATTGAAAATGTTGATGCAAGAAGTTTTTCAAAGTTTAGGCTGAAAGCAAGACTTAAAAAGTTATATCCACAGCTTGTATTTTATACGCCTAAAATTCGAAACAGAAGTGAAATTGTTTACTCTGAAAGTCTTTCAGCTGGAGATTTAGTGAATGATCAAATGTCAAGTAATTTTGATTGGGATGGTGATCATAGCGAGAGTGATAGTGAAATGGAATGGGAAGATAACAATGTCACTGAGAATAAAAAATCAAGTAACGACCCATGTTCTAATGATCTTCAAATTCTATTTAATGCTTCAATGATCATCAAGAATAAGATAAAGAGCAAACCAGTATTTGAAACCCCATGGCCACCTCTTGCTGCAGATATCACAAATGAAAATGCAGAAAAAGTTGTCGATCCTGCTCTCTTTAATGTTCTTGCTTGGATTTGTGGATTTTCTGATAATCCTCAGCTTAATAGTTATGTCACTGTAACAGACAACCAGCATTCGAAAATCATGGCAGTAGCACAAGATCTTCTGTTTGTTGCTTCCCATGGACAAAATCCAACACCAAAGAGCATTGCATTAGCTATGGCAATGAGACAACTTACTGGTTCCTCAAATGTCTTGAAATTACTAAACCAATTTGGACATTGCATGTCACATGAGTATGTTCTGCGTCATGAGACTGCCTTGGCACAAGTCAATGTATCCAGTGAAGGTACTTTACCACCTGGCTTTTGCAAAGATAAATTTACAACTCTTGCTTGGGATAATGACGACTTTTGCGAGGAGACAAAAACTGGAAAAGGAACGACTCATGTTACTGGTGGCATTATTATTCAGCGACAAAGTTGCGAAGTTGAAGAAGAATCGGTAAGAGTAAGTATTCCAAGGTCATCATCATTGGAATATGTTCCAGATGAAATAACACCGTATGCGCTGGGAAAGCGAGTTACAGTAAACCTTAAGGATGCTCTTCAAGAAGTTTCAGTTGATGAGTATGTTTATGTGCCAACACAGAAAGCAGCGAATGCACTTGATTTTTCATTTGTTCTTTGCAGAAATCTTCAAAATGAGTGCCTTTTTCCAAACTGGACAGGTTTTAACATATTGCTTCAGTCCACAGAAATCCCAATTTTGTCAAAGATAGGATATTTGCCGATAATAGATGCACCTCCGACCGAAATGTCAACAATCAACGCTATAATGAAAAAGAGCACAGAAATTGCAAACAAGTTATGTATTCACTATGTCTGCCTGGTGTTTGACGAATCTATTTACGCCAAAATTCAAGAAGTGCGATGGAAAGAAGAAGAATATCTAAGTAGGTTTAGTGTTCGACTTGGTGAATTCCATATGGCCATGTCATTTTGTGGAGCAATTGGAAAGCTGTTCAAGGATGCAGGATTGAGGGTGAGTTAACTAGGTATATACATGTACGACTAATTGTACAGTTTAAGTAGCCAAAATGTTGCAGCTGAGATTGAGTAAATAACAAGATGTACCGTACAGTGTTATACAGTTCCTACAGTTTTATATTTTAATTTTCTGTCTCATTATGTTTTTAGGATTTGCTTGTGGAGTCTGAGCTTGTAGCGGCTGGATCCATCAAAGGAGTCATAAATGGAAAACATTATAACCGTGCCATCCGCACACACAAAGTGATGTTTGAAGCATTGACACGCCTCTTATTTGATATGTACATGCAGTCACTGCCTGCAGAATCGCAGGAGCAAATATCACTTTTTATTGGTAAGAATTTCTCACTTGCTTTGATTTTTAAGATGTCAATGATCAAACGTTTGTTAATTACAGAATTTACGATTTAATTATTTTCGTCGATACTATTAAAATTTTGATGCCCTTTAGTTTAGTGGAAAATTTTCTACATTCTGTTTTTCATTGAATTGCCGGAATTGAAAAAAAATATGTTATTTTGCAGAGAACATGGCCAAAACATTTCCAGACGAACAATTTAAAGATTACGCACTCTCTGAAGAATTTCAGTCCATCCAGAATGGCTTCAATACTTACGTAAACGAGAAATCAGCTACAAACAAAACAATGGGAATGTGGATGTGGATGGTATACATGCAAATGGTACAGACTCTTCTTTTGTTCATTCGAGCAACCCGTGACAACAACTGGGAATTGCACTTATCAGCTGTGAGATCGATGCTCCCTTGGTTTTTCGCGGCAGACCGTGTCAACTACGCCAGATACGGATCGATATATTGGCTTGAGATAATTTGCCTTAATACGACTCATCCAGGTACACAAAATTATATTCAGTACTTAGATTACAGTGGATCATAGGTTTGTGCACGTATGTATATGCCATATGTTTATAATTGGCGCTTTTAGTAGGTTGTAAACTTCATTCCTTTGAACTCCTAGATGCACTACATGGAATCGAAGCAAACTGGACATGTCAACGACAACAAAAATATGGCTTTTCATCCTCAGCGTGCGATCAAGTTATGGAGCAGACCTTCAACCGGGACTCAAAGACGAAAGGTGGGATAACGGGATTTACTCTTAATAGATCTGCCGTTCAGCGATGGATTCTTGCACAGTCGGAAAGAGGCTCAATTACAAGACAGTGCTATTCTCTTGCTGGGCTTTCTAAGAACGAAAGGTACTGTAAGTAGAGCGTTTCTAATTTCAATAAATTTATTGCTGGAATTTGGAAAGAAACTATTACGATTTAAATACATGCAAGTGCTTGTACGGTGTCATATATTATTTCATGATCAATTACATGACAATACATTACATTACATTACATTACAGAGCGCGTAAAGACCTTGATGTGTCCCAGATGATATACCATAACTCTGAAATATCCGCTGTAATTGAAACGATCTCAGCAATGACAAACCCGTTTGATCCCGATCTGAAAGATCTTATAAACATCGCCAGTGGGGAGGTGGCAAATCCTTGCGTGGTGACTGATATGCTAGCCGCAAAAGAAATTGGTGAAAGAAAATTCAAAGAGTTTGTGGACGACAAAGTCAAAGCTGAAAAGCCAGATATATTTACAACAATCCCGAAAACAAATCTAAAGACCTTTACGAAACGAAATGTCAAATCGCAAGTAAAAACGAAGAAAGGTGAGATCGTTGAACTAAGAAACGATGCAAAGTTTATCTCTCGTTTGTTGGCAATCGGTGAATCTAGAGACGTTGATATGAAAAATCTTATGTCGTACAGTTTAAGAAAGTTCCCACATCCTTTTGCAACAGTTGATGGTGAACTTGTGAAAAGCCCAAAATGCAAACTTCTTCATGAATTGGTTGGCCGTGTAACTGATCCAATGGTTGAAACGACACAGACGTCAGGAGCCTTGTTACTCGACGCGATGGCAATGTTGCAGACATTGAAATATATTCCCCAAACATTTGGAGAACTAGCGGAGAAGATTTTGCAGATGCTCTTAAGTTGTGCCAGAACTGCAAATGCAGAAAGAGTTGACTTTGTAAGCGACAGATATCCTGCTGTCAGTATTAAGAACCTCGAGCGAAACAAAAGAGCAGTATCCGGTGTAACACAAATCAGAATAGGAGGGCCAAACCAGAAAGTGCCTTGCCAATTCAAAAGGTTCCTCAGTCTTGGAGAAAACAAGGAATCGTTGATAGAGTTTATATTTAAGCACTTTTGCACGATGAAATTGGAAGGAAGGCTTTCTCGACTCTCCCTGTACTTTTCCCATGGACAGATGTGTCATCGGTTTTATGTTGATGTGAGAAATGTGGTACGAGTTGAAGACGTCCCAGAATTATATTCCGACCATGAAGAAGCGGATACTCGTCTCATTCTTCATGCAAAACACGCCTCGACTGAACATCACGTAATAACCGTGCGAAGTCCCGATACGGACGTATTTGTTTTGATGCTAGGCCACAAGGACGCGATTGATGCCATGCTGTATTTCGACACTGGGTCTGGCAACCACCGAAGAGTGCTTGATCTTGATCAGTGTCATCGCCAGTTAAGTGGTTCGTTTTGCGATGGATTAATTGGATTTCATGCGTTTACAGGTAACTGAATTTTTCAGTCCAGTTAACTCGCTACCATTTAAATTTTCTACATGGGAAATAAACTGCAGTTACAGCCCAATTTCCGATCCATATCTTATTTAATATTCCCCACTTCGATGTTTCTCTTGTCCGTTTTTAGGCTGTGACAGCACGAGTTCATTTTATTACAATGGAAAAGTTAACATTTTGAAGGTTTTGGACAAGAATCTTGAATTCTTGCCTGCTTTTCAGACTATTGGATCCACTTTCATCCCAAATCCTGTTTTGGAGAAAGAGATCGAGAAGTTTATCTGCCTATTGTATCAACAGAAACAAGTGGACGATGTAAATGTAGCACGTTATAATATTTTCCGACTTGGAAAGTATTGTGAAAGGGATATGCCATGCACCAAAGATGTCTTAAGAAAACACCTAAACAGAGTTGTGTACCAGGCTGCAATTTGGAGAAGAGCTTTAACTCCCATTACCGATTGCCCTAACATAGCCGAACATGGCTGGCTTGTTGACAACGACGGGAATGTATCTATAGATTGGATGGATTTACCACCTGCCCCAGATGGGATCCTTGAAAATGTTCAATGTGGATGTAAAACGGGATGCACGTCAAATAGATGTTCATGTCGCAAGGCCAACTTGCAATGCACAAGCATTTGCCGATGCAATCATTGTTCAAACGCAACACAAGAAAGTGATGAAAGTGATACAGATGCTGACGATATTGATGAAAATGACTTTGATGATGAACATTAAACGTACTGAGAGACATCCCGTACATAGCCAGAAATCATGGAAATGATTATTCTATTTCCTTACTAATTTTACGTATCATTAATACATAACCCGTTGAAATATGTTACGGGATGCTTTAAATTGCAAAATCAAAGAATATTGGTAGTCGTTTGCAATTTGCCTCGATTGCTGGTTGCAGAACAAGGTCTGTTGAAATATATCGTGTGGTGTTTGCCTGGTGTAAGTTACTGCCTATTCTGCATTTTCGTTTGTTTCTAGTAGCCACGGTACTATTACATGTTAAATAGAAAAATTCCGTACATACTAACCTCTGTACAAATACGGAAAATACAGAATGGTCACTAACTAAAATCAAGTCAACATTACGCTAAATACTTCGATAGACTTTGATTTATAGCCAGAGACTGAGGCAAGTTGCAAACGACATACCACATTCTCTGATTTTTGGATTTACAGCATCGCGTAATATAATTTATTGTTTACTGCAGAAGCCATATTTCAGATAACGTGATATGCAAATTGCGAAGTAGAATAAATCATGTCCGTGATTTCTGGCCTTGATTACTATTTCCTGTCAATTCTGATTCGGTGTCATGAATTTGTGTAGATGCATTACATTATTAACTTTTATATTAAAATGGATAGGATACATTGACTTTTCTAAGAAAATTTGCATGTTTAGTCCTTCACTCACATTTCACAGATTTCTGGCCACTAAAAATTCCTACATTGCACAAAACGTAGCCCAAAGTGACACACGGTAGATAAGATGCAGTAAAATGCTGACTCGGCATTTTTTTAAACTTTGGTAAGCAATATCTCAGTAACGAGTGACTGAAGGTGGTCGGTATACTATAGTTTTTTTGTTCACTTGTGTGTAACTATATGATGGCATTATAAAATTTTCAAAATTCGAAAATATTTATTTTTCATTACTATAGATGACGTCATCGACGGAATAACATCGATTTCTCAGTCTTGTGCACAGTTATGATTGGGGGGTTTTTTATTATTAAATTTGGCATGCTCCTCCATGACTTTATGAAAGAACTGGTTAGTCTCGCGATATGTGCAACGAAAATCGTTTTCTAGGCACATTTTTAGATAGCAGACGACGGCCTATATTTATAATTGTGAGTACTATGCACTGATTAATAAATGCAACATATTTTGTAGGGAACTGATGATGTGAACCGCCATATTAAATCGACAGTCTCACCTGCAATCCTTTTGTGTGGTACCTCTGTGTTTGATACTTTGGTTATATGTATGTTGTTGAGAAAGGAAAGTGCTGTGTGACGCTTTACGTTTCAAACTTTTAGACTGTCTAAATCTGTTACTTTTCGTCCAATACACGTACAATTTGGATTTATATAAAGTCCAGAGAAGTGCAATGATATTTTTAGAGAAAGAGAGAAATCAACCTTAAGTTTGCAATGAACTCTAATAACCAAATACCTCTTAGTGTTAGTCAAGTTTTTACTCTGTTGGGTCAGTGAAGGATTAAGACTTTAATGCATTCTCTTTACGTTTATGCTTGTATATAATTAGCATTTAGTGGCGTATTAAGTCCATTTTTTAAAAGTAGTGATTTGTCTGTTTAATTACGTCCCATCTTATTTTCTGCACTGAAGGCTATGTTACACGAAACGATATTGAACGATGATTTATTCATTTTTGAATGTTAAAGATCATTTACATATCATATCATACCTAAATATTGTGATGATGTGTAACAGCTTACAACAAAATTTTTACAGAGAGTTTTGGATAGCTGAAACGACCCTTTTGAATAGCTGAAACGACCCTTTTGGATAGCTGAAACGACCCTTTTGAATAGCTGAAACGACCCTTTTGAATAGCTGAAACGACCCTTTTGAATAGCTGAAACGACCCGTTTGAATAGCTGAAACGACCCTTTTGAATAGCTGAAACGACCCTTTTGAATAGCTGAAACGACCCTTTTGAATAGCTGAAACGACCTTTTTGAATAGCTGAAACGACTTTTTTGAATAGCTAACGTCCCTACCCTTTGAGGAGTTAAAACTACCCTCTGAAAAGGGTAGAATCTACCCTTTCGAAGAGTAAGCGCCGAAGGGGAATAGCTGAAACGACCCTTTTGAATAGCTGAAACGACCCTTTTGAATAGCTGAAACGACCCTTTCGAATAGCTGAAACGACTCTTTTGAAGGGTAACGTCCCTACCCTTTGAGGAGTTAAAACTACCCTCTGAAAAGGGTAGAATCTACGGGTAGTCCTGGGGTCAAAAAAACTACTCCTTTGAAGGGGTCAAAACTACTCTTTTGAATTTACAGTGCATTGATACTGAGTTTCTCTCCAGTTGGTTGTATTCGCTATGATTCGACCACTTCTTGTTGTTGTATAAACAGAGTGCTGGCTTCAATATATAGCATCATTTGCATTTGATAATTTAGATATAGTTTTGTTTACTTTTATTATTATTTTTATTTTTTGAAGTAGATGTGTGATGAGCGTGGGTTTTTGTTTGGTGGCCTAACCCTGGAAATACAAAAAAATTGGTGGCCCATCGAAACTGCCCAAAGATTTTTCATGGCCCATCCCAAATCACTCCAGCCCACCCTAGTAGTTACTTTATGACCGGTCCTTTATTTACTAAAATTTTTGGAGTGACATCAACAAAATCCCACACCATTCTCCGATTTGGTCACTGAATCAGTGAATGTATTAGTGTCTTATTCCCAATTGCCTAGGAAAACTGGAATAATAAACCAATGAATATGACATGATTGCCCCAGCTTTCCCACAGGTATGTGCGGGGTGGGGGTAGGAGATTCCAAATGATTGGTGCATAACCAAGGCAGTGAAAGTATTATTACTAGTTGTAGTGGTGCGTACTTCCCTGTTTACCAAGAAGTGATAAACCTGTGAATATGAGGAGGTGCATGCTTTATCACGGGTATATGCCAAAGGGTTAGGGATTTAAAAATAAATAACTAGTGCATATTATCATACTAAATATTGACATAATGCTTTTCCTTATTGGCAGTCATTGTCCCTAGATTGATATTTAATAATAAGCTACAAAAAATGTCAATAGCGTTTTATTTTGTCCTCGCAAGATAATAATAAACTTCACTTTGACTTACGATTGACATTGTCGGGAAAACGTCTATTCGTGACTTCTGGCTTTCCAAATGTTAATATTATATAAAATATTAGCATGCTCGACGTCTCGAACCCCATGATCAAACATTCAAACGTTATGATCTTTTAAACAAAATGCATGAAGAAGGAATATCTTCAAAGAACTGGCAACATTTTACAAATGTCTTTTCTCTTGTAAAATATAAAATTGTAAATGTTTTCAAATCGAGTTGCAAATATATTTATTTGAGTTGTATTTGCAAATATTCATTTAATTATACACTCCAGCTGCTGACAAACACTATTCTAGTATAGAAGGCTCGTAAAGCAAATATGTGCCTTACTCTTCGCAATGTTACTCTTTGCAATTTGACTCCGAGATGGGTCCAATTGACCCCTTCGAAGAGTAATGTTACTCTCATGTGGAGTCGCAAGACTCCTGTGAAGAGTTATTTTGACCCTTCCATGGAGTCCAAACTACCCTTGGAGTTGAAACGACCCTTTCGAGGTGTAGAAACTACCCTCTTTCCAAAGGGACGGAAATGACCCCTAGGGGTCAAAACTACTCTTTTGAATTTACAGTGTGTGTTGGTCAAACTTGGTGGAATTATGTATGTCAATACAGTGCCGTGTATAATTTACAATGTTCATACCTGCAAGTTCTTTTATTATAAAAGTGTATTTTTCCAGTTTAGATTGGGTGGGTCATGAAAAATTTTTTGTAAGATTAGATGGGCTTTGCATTTCTTATCTACATCCTAAGATGGGTCACCAAACTTAATGGCAAAATTTGTGACTTACCTCCAGCACACCCTAGCATTTTATGACTAGTCCCTAACAAGGAGTCAAGTCATTCAATTTTATGTTCCAACCCTCAAGTACCACTTTTTTAGATTTAAACTCAGTTAAATATTCTGTAAAAAGTTCAATACAGTATTCAGGGAATACAATTCATCATATCTTTTTGTCCTGGTGGTGGGAATTCACTGGAATTTCAATCACCCAGGGAGTTGGGGGATTCACTTGTATTAGTTACAGTATACTATTACTGATGTAAAAAAGCCTTGCATATTTTATTAATATTTTGATAATTTGTTCCAGATATACAAGCAACCTCGCAAGCAAGGGCCTGGAGCCGCGGCGGGATGGAGACCCTTGTAAAGGCTGGTCACGTGACCTCCCAGATTCTGGGAGGTAAATCAAATTATACTGAGAGAGGGGTGGTTGAAGAGCGGGTTTGTAAATTTCTCGTATTTGGGGAATATGAGAAATTTACTGACCCGCTCCACAACCACCCCTCCTCAGTATAATTTGATTTACCTCCCAAAATCTGGGAGGTCACGTGACCAGCCTTTACAAGGGTCTCCGTCCCGCCGCGGGTGTGGAGGCCCTTGCTTGCGAGGTTGATATACAAGTTATCATTATTGTTCTGTAATATGACCGGGCCTTTATCCTAGTCCCACGAGATTGTACTGATTCCCATCCCCTTCAAATATGACAAATTAAATACAATTTTGTTAAATGCATTTTATTGGAGGCAACAAATATATTCACAGACTTCTAGTATTCATATCCAACCACAAAATAATTACAGTATTGCCACAATTTAGTTTACATATTCAATAAGTCAGTATCATATTTAACATTTACATATAAACCAGTGGCACCAACAGGGCTAGTAATATGCATTGGAAGAAATGTTGCAAATTCTTCTTGGGAATAAATTTCAAAAGACTTTTCCATAGGTTTTTGGACTTCATAGGAATGGTAATGCTCACTTAATCGTATTGTGTCCAATAGTTCAACAACAAACAATAACACATAATCTCCAGGAACAAGTATGATTCCATGTATTACTGAAAAAACTGGCAGCAGGTGACAAAAACCAGTCTGGACCACAGCTCCCGTCTTGTATTTTGTTCCAAATACAGAAGCCCATGTTAGCCTAAAAAGGGACAAAATGACTAAAGTTTAGCAAACAACAACTAGAACCATGATGCTTTACAGAGAATTTCTCACAAATGATCTGATTTGCTACAGTATTGGGTTTGGGAACTCTGAAGAAAAAAATGAAATAGGGGGATGACAGGGGCATTTGTAGGGGATTATATGACTTTCACGGGGCATATGAAGTATTTTGTTTGTTATGTTCCCTGTGGGGTGGGGGAATTTGCAATAAAATAATTTAAAAAGGCTTATTAAAACTGTTGTAAAATAATTTCCCTGCCAGCTCTTAATTGGTTTTATAATCCGAGACAGACGAGGTATGGGGTTTTTACTGTAGCTTAGTCTTGACCAGAAAGTTGTCCAGAGGTATGAGGATTTTTCTGTGTATTCAGAATGCATAGTCAAATCAAATCCCCATTCTCCCAGGTGGGGGGGGGGACTAAGAAAGAAGTACACTGATTAAAATTAAATTATAAATTAAACTCACTCATTAATAGCAGAATCCACAGTTACTTCTGGCACCTTATCTTTTACCAGTTCATAGTAAACTGTTGTACCTGCTTTGCACAGCTTACCTAGTCACAGAGTATATACATAACAAGACATAAGAAAATTGACGAGTAAATTTATCTGGTGTTAGAAAGCGTAACACAATAACATAGGGCACATTGTGACTTGGTATGGGGTAATAACTGACTACATGTATGTAACACATTAAACCACAAGACTCTCCCCTAGACAAATAAAATCATGTGAGTAAAACAATCTGGCATTATTCAGAGTAAAACTGACCAAGAAATAGGTATTACCTTGCCCGCATTCAGTGGGCTTACACATGTCATACATAGCATAGCATTGCTTGTTTTGGTGCCTTTGAGCCAATGTAAAAGGCAAGTTTTTGAAATTTCCAAGGCCAGCAGCTAGCGTCTTAAAATATCTGTGCTTGGCTTCAAAGCGCATACACCAGCTTGTCGTCATTGGTCCCAATCTGAAATAATTATATTTATGAATCATGCAAAATAAAGTATTAATTAAATATAGAATATCAGACAAGTGCATACATTGAGTAGTAATTAACTAATTATTCTGGATGCAATCTAAATATCTAATGCCAGGTAAGTACTTCATGTATGCCTAGTATTATTATTGTCCCGAAGAGGGGTCCCCACCTCAGAACATAATAGTAGCCATACATGAAGTACAGTACTAGCCAATTAACAGGTCCAAATATCAGAGTGGGCAATGACATACACAAATGTTTGCAGAAGGCTAAGATGGGTATACTGTACAATAAAATGTTAATAAAATCATTGACTCCATATATATCTGATCATTATATGAGGGTAATGAATCAGATAGTGCATCTTTGGTATTATAGAGCAGTTGGGGTACAGCCTTTTAAATCCTGTGTGGTGTTCTTCAATGAGTACAGCCAGACCAGCAGCCTGGTTACAACTTGTTACCGGAGAGAATATTATGTCGGTTATATCCAACAATTTTAGAAACAATTGCTATTTCTCATCAGTCTCAGGAACCTTTGCTCCAACAAGAAGTGGTACAAATCTTGCTAGGCACCACATCTGGGCAGCTGAAGACAAGAAAATACAATAATTCAGAATTTTATCCACTAAGGAAGGTCAATCCTAAAGTATATTTTATATAGATTAGAAAAGCTGAAGATAAAATATGATATTAATCTACAGTATGATATAGCAAAACATTAATGTGCTTAATGTGTGCTATTACTTTCCCAAACTTGAACCTGATCCATAAGGCACTTACCACGCTGATGTAGTGTGTTGCTGTTTGAGTGAAGTGTTAATTCCGAGATTGGAGATGGTTTATCTGAGTCATTTTGGTATCCAAAGTCAAAGTTGTGGATACTAGAATTTAGGTGGTTGAGGCTGAAGAATTTTCTCTCACAGATCAGGTATTTCAGAAGTTCTTTGCATTCATACTGGAGACAGCCTTCTAAAACATCATGCATTGCATCACCGGGTAAGCCACCAATCACATGGTAGAATCTGGATTGGCATAAAGCTGATAAAAAATTCACACCATATGTGGTTGACAATGCTGGGTCTTCTTCTATCTCAGCACACTGGTTATCATGCTCTTCACATGTCCTTAGTTGAAAGTTGTCTTCCCGGAACTAGAATACAGAGATAATCGAGAACAAATATTTTCTACTGACAGCAGCCAAAACTAAGTTCGCTACTGGTTGAAATGGGTCGTTCCAGAAAAGATCCACACTGATCCCCCCCCCCCACCACTGTTATATCCAGTAAGTGGAAACACGAGCCGGTAAGTGGAAACACTAGAGAACTCCCGCTCTCTTAGATCGGTGTATTGTGAAGTGTTGTGTTATAATAAAACTGTTATCAAATAGACTGTTCATATGGCGACGAGGATGGGATCATAAGCTAAAAAATAATATATCGAAACCAACCAAGGAAACACGGCCACAGCGACATCATTTCCTCATCTTTACGAGGTAGGATAAGCGAATTATTTGAACAGATACGACGATACGGAATAGGGGACGCCATCTTGTTTGAAAATTATACAGGAAAACACAGATTATAATCTCAGCAGATAAACGGGGCAACATCACAGTACAGATGGCCACAGCAATATTAACAAGCATTAAAGCGTGTGTGCCAGAATTTAAACCAGAGGAATTATCGGATACGGGCAAAAACGTAGATCGACGATGGAAAGAATGGCTGGAAAACCTTGAACTAGTGCTAGACTTTGAAGGCGTAACTGACCCTGCGGAGGGAGCGTCGAAAAGGAGGGCAGCACTGCTCACAGTAGGAGGACAAACCCTCAGGGAGATTTTTTCCACCCTTACAGTCGAGGGGGATACTTACAAGGCCACAAAGGACGCTCTCACAGCACACTTCTCACCAAAAAAGAATTTGACAGCGGATCGATACCGATTTTTTTGCACCAAGCCCACATCACCGGAGGAAACTCATGACCACTGGATAACCAGATGAAGCAATTAAGCTAGTGGTCACCCTACACACTCCGTCAGACAAACTCCAACGAGACATTATAGCAAAGGATATGGATTTGAAAACACTCATAGACAGTGCCAGAGCTTTAGAGCTCACACAAAGGGAGGTGACCTTCATGAAGCAAAATACTCTAGAACCTGTAGAGCGAATGGGCAGCAGGTGAATGCAACATTCTATGTGACAGAGAAACCAACATCAACTCCAATTATGGGCAAGTACACAGCTTTTGATCTAGACATTTTGAAAATCAGTGTAAATGAACTTCTACATGTACAACAACCCGAAAGGGAATTGAGCAACCCATTACCCGAAAAGGTGACCAAACAACAAGGGACCCATATGGCATACTCAGACATGGCGAAGCAGTTGACACCTTTATCCAAAGTCACAGACTTTGTCACACAACTCCATCAACAGAAATCTACCGGCGAATCACCAGTGTCGCAAATAGTAAAAAAACACCCCAAAGTGTTCCAAGGCATTGGAAAGCACAAATATCGTCAAGTGGAGTTAATAATTGATGACTCGGTCCAACCAAAGGTTCAGGCGCAACATAGAATTCCATTCCCAAAGAGACAGCAATTTGAAGAAATCATTCAGGAGCTCGAGGAAGCTGACATCATAGAACAAGTAGAAGGTCCAACGGAGTGGATATCCAACGTAGTGCTGACCCCGAAAGCAGATCCATCACAGCTTCGAATGAATATTGATATGACAACCGCAAACGCTGCAATAAAACGCACAAGACACGTGATACCAACACTAGAGGAACTGAGGTATAAACTGAATGGTGCCACCCACTTCACTAAACTGGACATGAAACAGGGATACATGCAACTGGAGCTAAAACAGGAGTCAAGATATATGACAACATTCTATACTCATCGCGGACTTCGACGTTTTAAACGATTGAACTTTGGAACGAACTCAGCAGCAGAATTATTTCACGAAGAGATTTTGCAATGTCTGATAGACATAGACAATGCAGATAACCTGTATGATGATATCATTGTGTACGGAAAGACACAACAGGAGCACGACATAGCTCTTGCACAAGTCTTACAGAGATTCGAAGACTGTGGATTGACATTGGGACTACCCAAATGCAAGTTTGACCAGCCAGAAATTGAATTTTTTGGGATGAAATTCTCAGCAGCAGGCATGTCACCAACGGCAGACAAGGTAAAAGCCCTAATCGAAGCTCCAGCGCCCACATCAGTTGCAGAGGTCCGTTCATTCCTTGGGATGGCCAACTACAGTGCCAACTTCATACAACACTACTCGGAAACCACCGCACCGCTACGGCACCTAACGAAGAAAAATGCCCGGTTTCAGTGGACGAAGGAATGCCAGAAAGCTTTCGAGACCTTGAAACAAGCAATGGCGAGCCCTCAAGTTATGTCATATTATGATCCCACCAGACCAACAGAACTCATTGTCGATGCCTCTAAATATGGACTAGCCAGCATGCTCACTCAGCTCGACCCCAAAACAGGGCAATACAAGGTAGTTCGGTATGACAGCAGGTCCACCACACAGCCAGAATCCAGGTATGCTCAAATAGAGCTCGAGAGCGCAGCAGTCGAATTTGCGATCAGAAGAAACCACATTTATCTCTATGGTCTACCAGAATTCAGCGTTATCACAGACCACAAGCCATTACTACCGCTTTACAACAGCTACCGAGCAGACATGCCCCCAAGAATACACAGACACAAGCTCAATCTACAAGGATATACCTTCAACTTAAAACATAAACCCGGGAAAGACAACCCAACCGACTACATGTCCCGACATCCTACCCAAATACCAGATCCCAGGGAACAAAAAGAACAACAAGAGGCACAGTTGATCAATCATCACATAAATGCCATCATCTGAGATGACCTACCTGTGGCCGTGACACTAGAACAAATGAAGACGGCCACAGGAAAAGATCCAACAATGCAACGCCTCATCCAAGCCATTCAAACGGGATACATCAGCAACCCAGACAAACAAGAGCTAATGCCATACTCACATGTTTTTAAGGAACTATCAACAGTGGAAGGACTGGTACTAAGAGGAAGTAAGATGGTAGTCCCGGAAAGTCTAAGGAACCAAGTGGTCACACTGGCACACGAGGGCCACCAGGGAATTGTCAGAACGAAACAATTTCTCAGAGCAACGACATGGTTCCCAGGAATGGACAAACGTGTGGAGAAGGAAATCGCGTACTGCATGCCATGTCAGATCACAGTGAAAACACCACAACAGGAACCACTAAAACCTACAGTGCTACCTGGTGAGCCATGGCAACAGATCTCCATGGACCCCTTCCAACAGGTGAATATCTTCTGGTCGTCCAATGTCTATACTCGAGATATCCAGCGGTAGAAATAGTTCGATCCACCTCAGCGGATACCTGCATACCTGTTCTTGACAAGGTACTATCTCAGTTTGGAATACCTACACAAATAACAAGTGACAATGGGCCACCATATAACAGTGAAAAGTTTAGGCAATATGCCAAGTACATGGGTTTTGAACACAAAAAGAAAATACCATATGCCCCGTGGGCAAATGGCACCACGGAGAACTTCATGAAAAACCTAGGAAAACTTATCGAAACAGCGCAAGAGGAAAAATTAAACTGGCGCCAAGAACTCCACAAATTTCTGCGTGCATATCGAGCCACTCCACATCCAATGACAAAGAAATCGCCAGCTTCTCTCCTGTTTAATGGGAGAAAATACAAAACAAGACTACCGACACCCACCAGCAAAACCATACTGGTTTACGACAAGGAAGTCAGGAAGAACGACCAGATCAGCAAAAGAAATATGAAACTGCGAGCAGACAGCAAGAAGCATGTCAAAACAAGCGAGATCAAGGTCGGAGACAAAGTGCTATGTCAACAAAAACGAGGGAGGAAACACCCCCCCCGCCTACAGCAATGAAATAATGCGAGTCATGAAACGAAAAGGCAGTCTGATAGTAGCACGTGGGGAAACAAAGACGATAACCAGACACGTCACCTTCTTTAAGAAAGTAACAGAGGACTTTGACGTAGATACCTCTGACACCCCCTTGACAGAACTAGTACCACCCGGGAATCAACGAATAGTAGCAGACATGATTCACCCACCTGGGCAAGAACAACCAGGAAGAGAAAGACTCGGACTACAGAACCCGGAGGCCCTGGAGCCAAGAGAGAGAGTATTAAGAGACGTGAATCCAGAACCAGTACGCGAGGCCAGGCCGGTCAGAAACAGACGACCGCCAATAAGATTTAGGGATGAAAACTATGAATATAACTTAGAGGAAAATTTAGAAGAGTAAGCATTAACTTTAAATAAGTATAATAACGAACACGATTACCGAACAGTCAAAGTGGGTAAGATCGTATGTTGAGTTGCTGTTATAATGTTCAAGGTTACATACATGTAAACGTATAAAGAAAAGGAGGGATGTTATATCCAGTAAGTGGAAACACGAGCCGGTAAGTGGAAACACTAGAGAACTCCCGCTCTCTTAGATCGGCGTATTGTGAAGTGTTGTGTTATAATAAAACTGTTATCAAATAGACTGTTCAACCACCACCACCAGAGGAAATTTCGGCCGGCCAGAGGAGGTTGGGAGAAATTGTTTCTGATAATAGTAAGTGTATTTTAGGACATCCGAAGGGGGTAGGGGGGTTAACTTCCAATTTTCTCTGTGGGGGAGGTATGGATGTTTTCTGGAATGACCCAATGGAGTACCTACACTGTCTGGAAACTTGCAAGATTATATAAAAAGCATGATCAACTGTACTACACACTACCTGAGAATAGTAGAAAATTAAATAATGTGTGCATTATTTAATTGCGTAAAGTCTAATCATGCACACATTATTCCAAATAGAATTTTCATTTGGAATAATGTGTGCATGATTAAACTTTACACAGTAAAATGGTGTAAAATCTAATCATGCACACATTATTCCAAATAATCTGTGCATGATTAGACTTTACACCATTTTACTAATCATGAATGCAGTACTAATTATTGGGAATAACTATCATTTTACATTTGCTGTGACTTTCAGCCAGGGAAGGATTTTGAGAATACTGTAGTAGGTTCTACCTGGGGTAAAATTCTATACATACATTTCATTTGCTTACCTCAACTCATATATAATGATAAATTTAGTTGACTAAAGATGTTTATATTTGAAATGTAAATCCTAACTGTAAATTCAAACTGAAATGTAAACCAATTGAGTGGCAGCACTCTCCACTTGACAAGTAAAATCGTCTGGCGTTAGACAAAGTAAAGTACTAAAGTAGGGTGCATCAGGGTACATTGCTACGTAGGGTTAAAAATAATAAAAATGCATATAATGAAAACATTGATTTTCACAATATGACTCATATGAGACATTGTCATTTTGGCACTCTAGTTCAATAAATAAAAATGGCAGGCTAGAGTTTATTTCACCTGCCAAAAAATTTTAGACTGGCCACATTTTTTCTCTACTTCAAGCCTGGACTACTTACCATTAGTTTAATATCTTCAGCACACCCCATACATTCTCTGCATCTTAGATTTGCACCAGGACCAACTTTGAATCCTCCAAGTTCTTGTGACCCCAAATTGTCGCTTGATACAAACGCTATTGTCCCACGGAATGTTCGCTTCTTGCCAGAGATGGTGAATTCATATCCAGTTTCTTTCTCTAACTCTATGATGTCTTCCATAATAGGCTCCAGTATAGCATTGATTCCATACTTGTTGATGACAGATCTTTTGACTATTGCCAAAAGTTGAATTGACTTCAACTGCGAGCGATATTTAGGTTGTATATTTGCAAGAGTGTAGTAAAAAACACCTAAAATAAAAGGCAAAGTATTGGGAGACATTCAAAACCTTCTGAACTTTAAACAACCTTTAAATTTTGGGGTGCCAGCATTCTCAATATACATTTATTTATTACATCATGTATAGGAAGAATTTGTCACATAATACCCTTTTGAGTATTTGGTACAATCACTAAAGGTTATAGGTGCCAGTGTAGGTACCGGTATAGCAATGACAACAAAGTGTGTTGGTATGATTTCAGACGTTATTAGAACTTTCGATACGATAACAGACTTACATAAAGTACTGACTGAGATAAGAGGCGAGCCCGCGGTAAATAGGACGACAACGTGTAAACAACGTTTTGGGTTTTGGTTTTAATACACCACAGTGTTTTACCGCTCAAAAGGCTCAATAATTCGACGATATTTGTAAAGAAATAAAAGTTTATACATTGTTTAAGTACATTATCGTTTTCTTTGAGTAATTAAGTTTGCATGCGCGTTAAAATACGTGGGTATATAGCTATACCAATACACAAAGAGCTCTGTGAATTGAGAGAGGTACAACTCGGGTATTGTTCAGTTAAAACATACAATAAAGCTTTCAATCTGCAGGTATTTGGTTGGGTGTGTAAAGTGTGCATTTTTATATCATCAGAGATACTAATTAAATAATTTTCATTTTGTTCAAGTCACCTAAGTACTGTACATTAAAAGGACAACCTGCTACTACATTATTTCAAACATATATTTGTGTGCAAACAATTGAGATGTCTTTTTAGGGAAACGACAAAACGCGGACCCCAGGTCTGCAGACTACCTTCGTGGACCTGGTCCGTGGACCACTCTCGTGGACCACTTGCGAAACTGCATGGAAAAATGTGCTTGAGTCGAGTTCAGTCATTATTATCATTGTGGAAACTCTACACAAAAGTAAAGTTCTAAATCCATTCACTATACGACAGTTCTAAAATATAAGTGTACAATTACGACTTTAATGCAAAGTTTTTGAATATATTCCCTTAAAATTGGTAGTTTTTTTCGATCGCTACAGAAAATGCAAGAAAATAAATATTTTAGGGAGAGGACCTCCAGGTATTGAAAGGTCATTGCAATTTACAACATCTACAGTTCAAGTAATTTTTAACATTAAAATACGAATAATTCGGTAAATTCCTTCAAACGCCCCCCCCCCCCCCCCCCCTCCTCCCCAAACGTCCGGATTCTCCACAATATTCCTATATTTTTTCTTGAGCTCTGACTACATTTTTTCAGCATTTTTACTGACTTAATAGTATTCACTGTACATCAACGGAAACTGAATTGATTGTGAAGTAAATAATGGAAATGAATGAAATGTCTTGCACTTTGAATGATTGCTGTTCCTGCGAATCTCAGCTCCCTAAACTTGGGTTAATAGGGCGTAAAAAAAACTGTGGTTCCGGTTTCATAGCGTGAAAAAATTAGGGTCGGCAGGTCGGATATTTTTTAATATTTTTTTCATTGTTTTGGCGGTTTTTTGCTGGGCGATTTGCAGTAGAGTCCCGACGTCAATATTAACCAGAGAAGCGTATTTCCTGTGGACGAATTTAGGCAATTAGGTTCAATCATTTAAGTGTGACAACAGACGCCATTTTGGCACGCTGTATAAGCAGCGCGAACCACCTGGAGAAAATTGGGTCGCACGGTCAATCGCGTTGAAAAAAATAGGGTCGGTCAGGAACCGGAACCACAGGTATTTTTTTTACGCCTAGTGCTTGGTCCAATTGTTCGGTAGGCGAAATTTCGCGAGTGGTCCATGAAAGTGGTCCGTGGTCCACAGACCGGGCCCACGAAGGTAGTCCGCGGACCTGGGGTCCGCGTTTAGTCGTTTCCCGTCTTTTTAAAGGACAATATAATTATAACAACCAACAAGTCATATTTTAACATAGTCTTGTCGAGTTAAATCATCTGCCATTAGACAGAGTAAAATGCTGAAGTAAAATTGTCAGGTGTAGACTGTTCAAAGTGTAGACCAAATGAAATGCATCCTGCCATTCCGGACACATTGCCGGCTAATACAAGAGACACTGGCAGATAGTTTTGCTAACTCATTTACTGACAGTACACTGATCTGCTCTCCTATCTTGCATGTTTATACATGGGGACAAATAAAATACAGTATATACTGTACCTATCTTGTGTTTCTTTGTTTTGCTGCCCAGAGGATTAACACATTCAACTTCGTCAAAATACACTATAATTTGTAATGCACTAGGATTTCTTGAAAAGAGAGGGTGTGATTTACAAGCCTCGCCATCACAATAATCATAGATTCGGCCATTGTTAGTTTTATTAATGTGTGGATGTTCTATCTGAAAAGAACAAAAATTAGAAAATTTTCAGAAAATTGATACCTTTCTTAATTTAAAAAAAATGTCTTGGAAATTATGAATTTTATTTTAATAGTTTTGTTTTTGCAGAAAATGCCACAATATTTATTTGGCAAAGCTTAAGCTTTGTAATTCTGCCCATATGCCCAGACTGCCTCAGACCCTCATTGTCAGTGTAACACATTGCCAAATAAATATTTATGGTGTTTTCCACAAAAAAAAACTATTGCAGTATACAGCTATTTCAATTAAGGTTGTCTGTGAGCAAAGCGGAAAAGTGAAATACAAGTGCGAAAGCTTGCTGGGAATTGCTAAAAAATTAATGAATATTTTTGCGATTCCCAGCAAGCCTTTCTCGCTCATATTCGACTTTTCTGCTTTGCTTGGGGACAACCTTAATTGAAATAACTGTATATCATCATGAAAACGTATAAGTTAAATTTGAATGTATTTGATTATTTACCTCGTTAATGACTGACGGATCATTCAACATGGCTTCAAGGCTCTTAAGTAGCGGTACTAGGGCCATTTCATCTGGTTTTGCTACCATCTTCCTCTTTGTGCCAGATCTTATGTGGACATGGTAGTTTCCAAGAACATATCGCTCGGGTTCCTATGGCATAAACAAGGAAAGATTAATTCCATGGCAACAATTAATAAAGCAAAATTCACGGAAGGGATGACCACCGAGTAAACTGACATATACTGAAACTAGTTAACAATTTGAAAAAGCATAAATACTATGTGTGTCCCCATTCTCGTATCTAGAGCCCTTCTTATGTGCGGTCAACCGAGCGCAACAAAGGGCTCTGACGAAATCCACATCAAACTGGCATCTGCATGGCCAGAACGAAGGTTATTGTTCTAATGTTTTTATGGTATCCAGTTTGGATTTGGCCAGAGCCCCTTGTCGCACTCTGTTGACCGCGCGTAAGAAGGGCTCTGGCCGGTACGAGAATGGTGTGTCCCTTGAATGGCAAGGGTGCCCAGGGGTTCAGGGACTTTGACCAACCATAATACATTCCATACACATTACACATTATTTTAATATATTATTAAAATCTCTAAAATATCTACACCTATTAGGAGGGGAATTTTTCTCGAAATCTTGTTAATGTTTGATCATAAGCATACATATTTTAGTAAATCTTACCACAAGGCCAAAATGATCTTGAAAGTATTGTTTTTGTTCAGTTTTTGTCTTGAGGCCAGTGAATGGGTTGGTCATCTCATTGTCTGGTGAGAATATATCCTTCATTCCAGGAATATCTTCAAACACAATCCCAGCATTCTCCAAGCAATCTTTCACTTTGTCCTCAACTCGTTCAACAAAGCTCTGGACTAGAGACGTAGTGTCAGACAACAAGGTTGTCGTAGCTATTTCAGTCAACTGGTGAACTTCTTTCATCTTGAGTAGAAATAATGCGTTTCGCTTTTGAAAATCCATTTCAGGTGCATCTTGGGGCTCGTTGATACCTTGAATTAAGTTTTCGTCTCTCAGTGCCTCACGATCAACAATTCCACCGGCGAAATCACCCGGTATGACAACGTCTTTGTGGTGTCGACGAATATGGCTTCTGAAACCTTCCAGCTTTCTGTACGAAGCCCCGCATCCGCGAACGCTGCATGTTGCAAAGAAATTCGCATCGTGACGATGATATCGGCCGTAATGGTTAAATATTGTGGCAATATCAAGTGCAACAAACGGCACACGATTGCCACTGCACATTCCACATGTATAAACCATGCCCAGATTAATACAGCTAGATTAGAAAATGCATGTAATAATATATACAGAGATTATATTATTTTTTACTAATATCATATCTCTTCTCTGTGCAGTGTCACGGCAGTGTGCTATAAATATATAAAACTCGTGAAACCGGAAACGAGCTTGTTCCGAAAACCGTACGTGCGAGAGCCGAGTGCTCTCCGAAGTTGTGTTCATATTGCACCATAACGAGGCAACACCAAATATGGGTTGGCAATCCATTTATGGACCTTTACAACATCACGGACTCTCCACGCGTGGAATTGATTTCATATTTTCAACAAATCTTTTAGAGTGATCGGAGTTGCCTTCTCACTTTCGTATTAAAAATACTGTTTAAATATATTTACATCGTAGTGATGCCTTCTTTTCTATCTGGAAGTTCGTCGGTCGCTGATGTTGTTCATTGGCTTAGAAACAATAAATTTAACGACGAGGTTATAAAGAATTTCCAAGGTTTGTTTAACAAATGTAAAGCGCATATTTGCATTGTTGTCTTTAATATATTTTCACGTTGTTTCATCCGTTTATAATAGTACGTCGCTTAAGTGGCCTACTTGACCTTTTATTTTAATTGGCTTATTGAATAGACGAATCAATTGATGGTGAAGATTTTTTCTCATTGGAAATGTGGATGATCGACCGACTTATTTATATCAAAGGAATGAAGAATATCAAAAGGTTTCGATCATTATGGTCTCAAGAGACAAACATGGTATGTAGATTTAATTTTTATGGACATATTTCCATTCTTTTAATGCTTTAAAGCAAAAAGGATTACTCATAATTTGTTTTATGAAAACCTTGGTTATTGTTAACTAAGAATTGATGTAATCTATCGAAGGATTGGCTTGATATTATATGGATTCAAAAAATTTATGAACTACACTATGGCTATGCAGTCGGCGTTTTTTGGCTTCAACTCCCATGATGCATCAATCCATCAAACTCCATCTATATATATGCACATGCACGATGGCTATATTATCAATGATTCGTTAAATGTATGTTTGTAAAAAATTTTTATTGCATGTATACTAATGGTTATGAAGAATTGGTCATCGATAATTTCTCATGGATAAGTAGGCCTAGGGCCTACAAAGGGACTTCGCTCGAATTCTGCATGAAGAAGGGCCTTTGCTCAAAACGTTGAGAACATATTTTGATTTTTTATAGGCTTGCGTGCATGTAGCTTTAGACCCAAGAGATTATTGCTATCAACGCAGCAGCTGATGCTGAAAGTTTTTATCAAAATAAGTATGCTTTCAATATTTTCTGTATAGATCTTTGATGTAAATGGAAAGCCTGTTCCTGATAAAGAACAGCAACCTCCTGCCTGTTCAAGTCCTGCTGAGAGTCCCCTACAAGATGTATGTGGCATGCCAGAAATTGAGTATCCAAGAATGTCATTGTTGGCACCACCAGTGAACAACTTGTTGACACCAGAAAATGGAAGCAAAGGAATACGACCTACAGTCTCTTCTGTTGAAAAGGTTAGTTACTGCTAATAAAACAAAATTATTTTATACATATTTTTACAGTGGGTGCCAAAATTAAGTATTTGTGAGTCATTGAGAAAAGTGTATCTTCTAAAAAATAAACTGTCAATAGCTACTGAACATGCGCATTTAGATCTGCAATTGTCTCGGACCACATTTTGTCTTTCGTAAATTTTGCCATGTATAATTTTAAAATACGATTAATTAAATTCCATACATGTATGTGCATCAAGAATTGCTAGGCTTTAAAATATCTTTTACATGAGCATCTGACAAAATGTCCTATGACTTTGAGCTTGGGTCGGACATGTACAGGATCATGATGTCCGTTGACCTTCATTTCAGTTTGGGTCGGAAATAAGTCTGAATGACACGAATATCAGCATAACGCATATGTATTAATTCTGAACTGTCGGGGGTTGTAGGTTCGATTCCCGCTGTGGTGAAGCATATTTGTTGGGCTTGCCCGGTGTGGATATACATTCAGAGTAACATCACACACATCATATTCACCTGAGTACATAACACCTACACAGAAAAAAATCATGATCATGATTACTAGATTGCATTGGTATCGAAGAAACTAGACTCAGTTCCAAAATATCATATACTTGAACCGACCTGACTGCGTAGCTCAGTTGGAAGAGCATTAATTAATTTTTTCATTCATTAAGAGCATTAACTAATTTTTTCACGATATGAAACCGGAACCACAGGTATTTTTTACGCCTAGTTTTGATTCCCACCGTGGCCAGGCATATTTTTCAAGCTTGCCCGGTGTGGATATACACTCAGAGTAGGGTTGGGCGATATCTTGATTTATCACAATATTTTCAATCGCGATTACCGTATCGAAGGCAGAAACTTGAGCGACGATATATCAAAATTATCGTTATGCTCGTTGACTATAGTGATATTGCTTCATATGTGTATATAGCTTTTTAATATAAAATCCTAAAAAAATTCCTTCAACTTCAAGAAAATATAGTTTAAAAAAAATAAAAACTATTTCCTGAATTAAATACAAATTTAATACGATATAAAAGCTAATATTTATGTATTAATCCGCTGAACAATGAAATTGCCTGCTATGCTTGCGCCTGTGTGCCCACGGCATTTGTGCCTGCGGAGACACAGTAAGCACTGCATAGACAGTTCAGGTTTATGAACAGTAAATATTAGACAAGAAAAAGCCTTCTTATTACTTTAATTTTTGTTTTACTTGTCATTGTTTTTATTGCATTTATCGCGATATTATTGAATATCGCGATAATTTCCTCCACAATTATCGTGAGATGATTTTTTTTAATATCGCCCAACCCTAACTCAGAGTAACATCACACACATTAATAATTTGTAAACTAAACAAAATGGTGTCCGGTTTTAGGAAAATTTAAAAAAGTTAAAACTGATCTACCCTACCTAAGTTTTTACAAGAAGAAATAGAAAACCCACATATTTTTGGCCTAGCCTTGATTTTCGAGTTGGTGACATATGTTTATTTATGACTGTAGTTAAATGTATATTTTATTGATCTACTTGTATACGGTAATTGTCGTTGTACCTTTAATCGGAGGAGTGCCTCGCATGGGACCTCGAGTCCCGTTCACACTCCTACCATTTGGTCACTATCTAATAAGGCCAAATAAAAATAATAGTTGGTTTCAGGTTCTGTTTAAAATACCATAAGTTACCTTGACATTTAAATGTTTAGAGTGAACATTGTTGACATTAAATATTTAGTTGTTGCTCGTTTCCTTGCATGTCAAGTTTTATATGTATGCAAGTGAAAACTTGATGTAAAAACAATAAAAACTAAGAGTTTATAATGAGTTTTAACTTATATTTATTGCATACTTGAGATAAAATAGTTTTTTAAAATAAAATGTATACCCAAACCTACCTACCCATATAAAACATGGCTGCATGTGAAACCTGAAACCAACGATTATTTTTGTTTGGCTTAAAAACTTAAGCTTGTTTCCACTTCACAATTTTGCTTGCCACCCTGTGCTGTACCATACATGAAAGTTCATGCACATCAGCATGTGTGTAGAAACTCATGTCATGTATTGTCAATATTAGCAAATGTGCTATTAACCTAATACCAGTATTCATAATTTTTTTATGAAAATTTTAAATAGCAGCCCTTGTCGGAGAATGGTTCACCAAGTCCATCATTGAAAGCAAATAAAAAAGGCAGATCAGGAGAGAAAAATGTAAAAATTGGTTGGGCTCAGTCCTTTGAAATTCCAGATAAGGTTTGTTGTATATTAGGTCATTCCACAGAACATCCATACCTCCCCCATGGAGGAAATTGGAAGTTAACTTCCCTAACCCCTTCAGATCTCCTAATACACTTACTACCTTACCTTATTTAACCCTCCAGATGGCAGAAATTTCCTCCTTGTGGGTAAGGTGTATCTTTTCTTGAACAACCCTTTGTGCCAAATATTGTTTCTTAGCCTTTTAAAATGCAATGTGCCCCCATTCACCTGTAAAAAGGTGTCATTGAATTTGATGCACCTTACTTTAACATCTGCAAAGTACCCTGAGAAACAACCTTAAAGCACAGGAGTCTGTCAGGAGAGTACCATACAAAACTCTACTTACATGAGTGCACTGGAAGCAACCTCGCCAAGATAACTAATGTGTTCAGACCTGCAGTAATAGGCTTAACTCAGTGGTAAGAGACAAGTACGCTTAGCCACTCAGCCACTTGTGCTTCCCACCTGTTGATACGAAATTGAAATCCTCAGGTATATCCATAATGGGTGCTAGGAGAAAAACTCAAACCCTGTTCACAGCGATGGTATCATATTTTCAAACCTATAGGTTTGAACAGGGTTACGGTTGATTTCATATAACTTTTCCGTAAACATTGCGTACTTCGTACCTAATATTGCGTGCTAGTAACTTGTATGATGATGTACTTATTTGCTAATTACATTTTTTTGTTTTTAGTTTTCACTGAATGTTGAGTTAGGAATAAACGCAAAGGCATTTAATGCAAGTCGGATAAATGAATTTGTCAGGGATATATGTACTCTGGTGTCTACATACACCAGGTACCCAACTGAAGCAGAGAGGCAGCTGATTGCACAAAAGATAGTTATGAAGTTTACTTTTTTAAAGGATCCAACAATTGGACAGAATTCCAAGGAATGGGTAAGCAGAGCATTTATGAGCCAAGTAGCTTATTCTGATTATAAAAGCAACAATGGTGTTAAATTTGCAAAAATTAAGTATGTACTCCATAAGCATAACTGTAGTGTGTGTACATAAGGAAGATGGTAACTCTCCCCACTGACCAACTCGGCCCATACCATCTCGGCCCACATTTCCACCGTCTCTGCCCTAACTTCCACCGTCTTTTAACTAACTTGGCCCAATCCACTGCATTTAATTAATGCATCGTGGTTTGTACTGTTTGACATATTAGGGATAGTCATTTTGTAATATATAACCCAGCTCTTTGCTTTTAGGGTTCTTGGGAAATACAAATAAAGAACAGGATGAAACGGTTGCAAAAATTAGCAACTAAAAGATCATTGCCAATGACTGATACAGAGAAGGAACCTTCAGATGTCCACATGCACAAGAAGCAAAGAACTGATAATCCTTGGCTTGAGGTGCCTTCCTTTGATGCAAAAGAAAAAGAGGCAATGAAGGAAAAAGTTGGTCAGCTGCGTAAACTTAGTCGGGCTGGAAAAGTGGACCATGGAGTTATGAAAAATTTAATGCGAGACACCTATCCCTTGCGAAGGCAAACAATACTGGCTGGGACAGATACTGTTGACACTATAATAAAAAGTTTCCCTGTCTTGATGCAACCAGCACATGTAAGTTTTTTTATGTTGCATACACGTCAAATGTTTACAATTCTAAGTTCAAACAGCCACTCTGTTTTGATAGAATTGTAAGCATGTGAACAAAGTTGTAGATGGGGGATGGAGCATGGATGGGAAGCAGTCTCCTATAAGATCACATTGTCCAGGGCAGAACCCTGCTTTGTCCACAGTGAATAATTTTATGTTATCAAGATTTCTACCAAAATTTTGTTTTGCTTAATATAGCTAAGAATGGAAATTTGCCGAATTTTTGATGATGTTGAGTTCTGTAAGAACATGAAGGTTTCCCTGGCTGGCACCTGGATACCGAGAATATTGTCATACATTGAGTCGAGTGATAAGCCAATGGTGAAGAAATTACGAGATGAAATGGAGCAAGCTATAAATGATGGTCTCATCAGTGAAACAGGTATAAATTTCATTTAATGTTATACCAATACTTTCAGAATTGTTGAAAAGAGCTTGGGATGCACAGCATGCTCATTTATAATGAGAATGTTTGTTTCTATAACATTAATTGTTTATAGAAGCAAGGGTATCTTTTGCTTTCCAAATTAAGTGTTGCCATGACTCAAACATTGACACACGTGGGTGTTGAGAACTACTTTTAGACAAATGCCTTGTTTTTAGAATGTCGTCAACGAGCTGCAATTTGGATAATGTTCAACAGCTTACTACAAGGCAGTGGTGGAAGGAAGAATAGTGGCTGTGAGAAGATTTTGAAGTTGTTAGAGGTAATGTGACATGGAAATTGCACACTATACCAAGTTAAACCAGAGAAACTTTTCCCTTATCTGTCAGTATGTTGATATTATGTTGTTGCACTTTATCAGTTGATATACACCAGCTAGCTACGAGTGCGAGAGTCAACAATGCAAAATTGTCCATTATGAGTAACTATATGCATGCAAGGGTGTAGTTTAGCTATTACATATTTTACAGGTCTGATCCTAGGCGTAGCGCAAGTGTAATTTGTATATTCAAGTTTGATTCAACATAAAAAGAGATTTCATTTTAAACCTCTCTGCCATTGTGGTAATTAATTGTCGGTATTCGAAGTTTCAAACCTAAAGTTGAGTGGTATATATCAACTGTTGTGGTAAGAACGGTGTCAGAATATTTATAATTGTGAATAATATGCACTGATTGGTAAATGTAATTATATTTTGTAGGGAGATGATGATGTGGACCACCAAATTAAAGTAGCAGTGACACCGTCGATCTTTCTGTCTGGTACTTCCGTATTCGATACGTCAGTAATGTATGTTGTTGGGGAAGGGAGAGTGTTGTGCGACGCATCACGTGAAGACAAACTTTTAGACTGTTTGATTCTTTTAATTTGCGTTCATTACACCTACAATTTTGATTACAAAGTCCAGAGAAATGCAATGCTTTTTTTCGAGAAGGCAACCTTTGGAATAAACTACAATAACCAGGTCCCACTTGGGGTTACTCAAGTTTTCACTCTGTTGGGTCAGTGAAGAATTAAGACTGTTGGTGTATTTTTAAATGTATATATATATAACTCTTCACATCTAAGCTTGCCTGTAATTAATTAGCATTTATATATAGTGACCTATTAAATCCATTTTTTAAAAAGGAGAGCCTTGTCTGTTTAATACGTCCCATTGAAACCTATCGTTATGTATAACAGCTTAAGACAAAATGTCTACAGAGAATTTTAATTGCTGAAACGACCTATTTGAATAGCTGAAACGACCCTTGTGAACAGCTGAAACGACCCTTTTGAATATCTGAAATGACCCTTTTGAATAGCTGAAATGACCCTTTCGAATAGACGAAACGACCCTATCGAATAGCTGAAATGACCCTTTCGAATAGCTGAAACGACCCTTTCGAATAGCTGAAACGACCCTTTCGAATAGCTGAAACGACCCTTTTGAATAGCTGAAACGACCCTTTCGAATAGCTGAAACGACCCTTTCGAATAGCTGAAACGACCCTTTCGAATAGCTGAAACGACCCTTTCGAATAGCTGAAACGACCCTTTCGAATAGCTGAAACGACCCTTTCGAATAGCTGAAACGACCCTTTTGAATAGCTGAAACGACCCTTTCGAAGGGTAACATTTCTACCCTTCGAGGAGTTAAAACTACCCTCTCAAAAGGGTAGAATCCACCCTTTCGAAGAGTAAGCACCGAAGGGACTGAAACGACCCTTTTGAAAGGGTAGTCCTGGGGTAAAAAAACTACTCCTTTCAAGGGAGTTTTGAATTTACAGTGTATTTGCGTGAGAATATCTTCAATGTTTGTCATGAGCAACAACACTTAGTTGACATGTTTTAATCTGATCAGCCAATATAACGTTCAAGTAGCTACAAGCTTGGTTGGCTTTGAAACCATGAAATGATCATCACAAACTTTGAACTTTTTCAGTAAAAACATCGAACTTTGTGATGAGAATAGACAATGTATTATCTGCAACTGTTCACCCTTAGTTGCAAGCGACGGTATTTGTAACCACGAACGGGGTTATGGCAGTTACTCTAAGCCAGCATGAAATTGCCTGTGACATTGTTAATATTACTGACTTGAACTTGTATGACAAACACTTTATTGGAAAATTGTAAAGAAACAGAGGATGGAATATACTTGTACAGCTATCATTGGTATATAGCGTTGTGAAGACAAACCACCAGGTACAGTACCTTTTACACATTTTTAATTTTTATTTTATAATGAACGAATAAAGTATATTTATAGAGCTATTATTATATAGATTATGTATGTATGTATGATCATGATAGTGCAGTTTCATGTATAAAGTAATAACAACACAAACTATCAAGGAGGCTGGTTGTATGAAGCGGGCTATCTGCTAATTTATGTCAAGAAAATATATCCTTTGACCCAAAGCCGAAAGGAAAATCTTGATTAACTAAAAGACCAGTTTACACTTAATCTGAACCAAATATTTTTATCAACTTTTTTGAGAAAATCTTGAAGGCAAAACAGAGAAGAAAGTAATCGACCTGGTGAGATGGCTGCATGGGCTAGCTTTTCCATATAAACAGCCCTAATATATCAATTTAATAAATTTAACTAAAAAATAAACTAAATTTAACTGTCAAATTTAGCCGTTATTACTGTAAACAATTTTAACAATTGCATATTTGATATAGTAACAATATAAAATTACATTGTTAATTTATCAAATATGCAATGGTTAAATACAACTGGCCGTCCCTTCTTTTGAACCATGCCTTTGGGGGCACTTGATCCTGGCATGCCCCCGTTCACCGCACAACCAGCATACTATGCCTATATTTGAAAATATAAAATTCTAGTATGTAGTATTATTAACCCATTGAGTGGCAGCACTCTCCACTTGACAAGTAAAATCATCTGGCGTTAGACAGAGCAAAATCGTCTGGCATTAGACAAAGTAAAATACTAAAGTATGGCTAATGAGGGTGCATTGCATCTTAAAAGATTAACCTGTCAAGTGGAAATCAGGCCTCGAATTTCCCTGAAATCAATCGACGGCAATGGCGTTAAAAATTGCCGTAGAACGTAACAGCTGTCTACGCCAATTTTGGCAGTTTCCACGGCATTTTTTCAAATTACTGTAACAAAAATTTAATTTTATTGTTAATATAGTAACTTAGTGAATAGTATAAAAATTATACTATACGGCAAAAAATTGCTGTCGTTTCCGCAATGATCCACGGCATTTTGTACTCCCTCTACGGCAATTGCCGCGATGAAATTCGAGCCCTGGTGGAAATACACCAATATGCACCCAATTTTGTTATTCTATTATGTATAATACCAGACAATTTTATTTGTCATCGGGAGAGTGTTGCCACTCAATGGGTTAGTCTGTTATTGGGTCCTACAGCATTTATTTGAAAGAATAAGTTAAGGCTGTTATTTCTATGGACATTTTTCGAGGGTTGCTGTTGCCTTCAATATGTTCACTGTACTCAAAATTGATCCTACTTCGAGCAATTTTTCAACATGGTGTCGTATATAATTTAAAAAAAAATTATTTTTAAATGAAACAATGCTGGAAATTGGATTTGCACAGTTTGACTTCATCAGGCAAGTGCAACTGTACAACTCTTTTACATTGTTTAACCCATTGAGTCGCATTGCACCCGGATGCACCCTACGTCAGTATTTTACCCTGTCTAACGCCAGATGATTTTACTCGTCAATGGGAGAGCGCTGGCGCTTAATGGGTTAATGTTCTAGTAGTATAGATATGCGGGTTCTAGCGCATTTTTGATCCGTTTTCTAAACCGGTTCAAACCGGTTCGGTAAATGTCGATTAATGAATGACGTCATTAATTAATTCAGGCTCGCTCCGTCCCTCTAACGCATTTCTTTTCCGGAATTCAATTAATGACGTCATCAATCACATGATCATTTTCCAAAGAATTCAATGATGACGTCATCACAGCTTCTAAAACTATTTTTTTAATCCTTCCGAGAGAGTCGATAGTGTCCTATTGCCAGTGTGTTTATTTTATCGTTCAAAATTATCCGCTTATCGTCGTTTGCCGAAAGTGCCGTTTTGTTTATTCTTTCCGTTGTTATTTCATGTTGTCGACTCCGGAATGTATTCATTGTTCTATACATTTCCTTACCGCTAAATAGACAGTTTTTATAATCCTCGAATACTATTTCATTTTTGACTACACACTTCTTCACACCTTTACATTTTTTTTCCTCTTTTCCTTCGGCCTTTTTATAGGCATACAGCTTACTACGGAGTCCAACGAACTCTGTGATTTGTTCTCCTCCACATTCATCTTTCATCATGCCTACAACGTTTTTGTTCTTTCCGACGGGTATTCCACTGCCGTGGTTCTTGTCATAGTTGCTTGTATCGAACCATTTTTCAACATCCGGTCTGATATCCTTGTAGAAATCTTCCGTTTTAATTTCATAACACAGACTGTCCGTGTCTGTGAAGAGCAAGTTTGCATTATTACCGTATTTTGGTTTGATGTAGTTATAGTGGAAGTTATACATGAGTGTTTTGCTTAGGTCTAAGATGGTCATTCATAGGTATATAGGTTTTACAAGTTTGACAGTGGTTTTTTCCATGTGGACGGCGATTAAGTTTTTTGTGAAAATGTTTACACCTTTGAAGTATGACTTTTTCGCGAGCTTGTTTAACTGCTCCTCGGCGGTTACTAGCTTAACGTTTACTCTGTTTCGAACGTTTTCCATGGTCTTTCCGAATACCGAGTTGTTCATTAATTTGAAAAAGTTCTTTTCAAAATCTGTTGTACCTTTTGTTCTAAGATTTGTGTTAAGTTGTATATATTTTGCTAACCAAGGACTTTCTTCAAACTTTACCCCACGATGTACTTTTGTTAGTTTTTAGTCCTAATTCTAGATATAGTTCCAGGTTCCTATAGTGTAGTACATAGTTTTTCTTATCGTTTAAGTTCGGGATTAGTTTCTTGACTTTATTTACTTCTGTGCTTTCCGGCGCGAGCGGATATTCGTTGTGGTTGTCATGTAGATTTTCCGGGTATTCCAAATCCACTTCCAGTATGCATGGAATGTTTTCCCAGTTGCTCAGTTCAATTTCTGTCATCCATTTGAAGTTTCCAACTGGCAATGGTTGACTCATTGCCCATCCATATAAGTTATTAGCGTCTAAGTATGGTATGTATATGTTATCCTTTTTTGGATCATAATTTTTTATATATTTGTTATTCGCCTTTGCATATCTTTTCATTATCGTGCTGACCCCACCTCGTATTCCTTTTTCGATCATGAGGTACATGTTTGGGTCGTGAATGAGTTCTAATTCTATTTTTGTGATTTTTAGCGCCGCATCCAAGCGAGTCCTGGCGCTGTGTAATGATGTAATGGATCTAATCCGTAATTTTCTATACATATTTTTCTGAATCTACACATAACATCTGTGAGCAACAGTACGTCTGTTTTGAGATACAGATCGTGGTAGTCACGCATCGTTTTACAATCGAACGTCTTCCAGACTTTTTGTGCATGTTCATAGTCCTCGTCGCTTATATCTGTGTTATTTAACTTACTGTAAAATTCTTTCTTACTGGGTAGCTTATCATACTGCAATTTGTCATAGCCTGTCATGAACTCATATGAAAACACCCCTTTTCTCTTCAGTAGCTCTATTCTCGAGTGTTTCATTTGACTTTCCAATGTTCTGAAGTCATCCTCGCCGAGCGTGTTGGCGAGGGAATCAAGTGACGCAAGTGTGAACTTGTATGAGTCGATGAACCGCATTTCCAGATATAATGTCTTTTCTCCATCGGGTGATATGATGGTTTCCATAGGAATTTTCTTACTAAATGATATATACTTTTCGTCTGTTTTTGGAATACAATTAATATCACCCTCACTGAAGCCTAGACTTTTTACAAACAAATGTGCATCATAACTTTCCAAATTGTGAAAAAGTATTGGTACGAACTTTGGTGTTCTCATTCGTAGGTTGCATTTATCGCATGCGGCTCCTCGGTATTTGCCAGTGATATGACAGTGATCTCTACACTTGATTACTTTTTCTTCCTCGCCATCCCCCTCATTTATCCTGACGGTTCCAAATTGTATATTGCATGCATAGCAGTTGTTGGATCCAGTGTAGTTCTTTTTATCCTCTTCTATCATGCTTATTGGCGTTACTTTTTTAAGAATTTCATACACTAGTTTCAGATTTTCTTCCAATGAGTCAACGAAGATTTTTTTGATATCCTCATCCTTATTTTGTGCCGTGTACGTTATAAATTTTGTTTTGTAAACGTTCTCATCCATACATTTTATCGTGTATGAGAATCCGCTTGGTCTGTGCTTTTGATATTGAATTGTGAATGACGTTTTTGGATCACCTTCTACATGATCCATTGGTTCTAGAAAACATTCGAAATCAGCGTTCACCATGAATGGTACTTCATGTAACCGTTCAAAATTTTTGAAGAATGTTGTGCTACCTTTGGATGGGTAATAATGGTGTTGTAGTTTATGATCTTCGCATAGTGCTGTATGTTCAGCTAGGAGGTTTTCCGTCCCGAATGCATTTATGCATCGTAAGCAGATGAATTTACGCCGTTTACCCTTGCTAAGTTGTGCCGCTATAAGACGACTTAGGTCTTTAATTACACAGTAGTGGTTGTCATCGTGCAGATATAGATTTACTGTTTCCGTTGGATTTTCTTGCTCTCCGAGTTTTAACGTATATAATTTTTTTGTTTCCTCATCGTATCCGAATACGTTAATGTTTATATTATTTTTCTCTTCCCATTTGTGAATATCTTTAACTTTCGTTGGGAACTCTATGTCTTCCCAATTGTATTTTTCAACCTGTAATTTTAAGATTTTTGTGACTCTACATGCGTCACGTTTCACAGGATTCAAAGCTCTAGTCACTGCCCATTTAAAACACTGGTTGTCCTCATTTTTTATGTTAGTGATGACTCTCTTCTCTTTTAGAGGTTTTGGGAGCGGTGTTGTATATCCCTTCCCTTTCAACGGTTCATACTTTGCGACAGACACTTCTAACTTTTCCACTTTGTGTAATCTCCAGTTACTACCATTATTCTGGAATTTCGCGAGAATTTCTAACATTTTTTTCACGCATTTTTCCATACTCTTCGCTGATGTTAACTGTAATTGCGTGAGTATTACTTCTTCCGTGGAATACTGTATATGTTTCCTGTCCGGTTTTTTTATCTTCTTTTACGAGTTCACATTTTAGTACAAGGTACACCTTTTTTGTACCCTCAGCGCCGTTAACGATCTTTTCCACTTCAGGTCTTGCACTGTTGAAGAAGACCCAGGGATCTTTGAACTCATCACCGGGTATCATCCATTTAGCGGTATTCTTTTTGATGGCACTAGAGACTAACGTTGATTTTACCGTTGGTTGCTTACCGTACAGACTTAAAACCTTGTTTTTAAATATTCTGTACGCGTCGGTGACTTTCCTTTTTATATCTTCCGGCACGTATTTGACTAGCCACTCACCCCATTCACGCCATGTGTATGTTTTTGTCGCTGCTGGTGGCGGCGGTGGTGGTGGTTCGTATCTGGTCGGTGTTAGGGTTGGTGGTAAGCCGCTGGGAATGTCCGTATCTAATAGAGGAGCTGTACTCGGTCTATTCGGATTCATTATTTATTGTATATGTGGTTCCCCTAAAAAAAAATCGTTTCACATAGTCATTTTTCTTTTTCAAATTTTTGAGATTTGAAAAAGCAATGAATCCAGACTGGGGGATATAGATCTTGTCGCGAAACGCGACAAGATCAGCGTAATGGATACAGGGATATGAACACCTTCCCACAACGCTCGGGGAAATAAAGGGAGGTGTGTTTCACACCTCTTTCCGTATATCCCAAACTGGGGTACCACTTTGTCGACGTACGTGGTGGTGTACAACCGATGTTTTTTTATACCGTCAAAATTTGGTAAACTTATCGCGAATCGCGATAACTTAGACCCTTCCGTTTCGTTCCCGCGGTTCGTTATAAGACGATACCGTTTTTTCATAATAGTCTCGTAATTATGAACCCAGACCCCAGACCTAGTATTCCGATCGTGATCTGCTGGTATTCTTCCATTTCGCTTGATGGTTTGTAGTAATCGTGGATTGTTGGCTCTTTGTCCAGAGTTAATTCCTCCTGCGCTTTCCGCAGAGAGTCAAGAGCGCTGTTTGTCACTTCCATATCCGATTTGGCATCGGCTAGTTCTTGCCTAAGTATTGCAATTCTGTTCTTTTTTTCCACTTGACTTTCATACCATTTTTCTTTGGCTTTGGCTAATTTTCCAGTGCTTTGTTATGTCTTTTCATTTCACCTTCGTATCCGCTATGGTTTAATTTGCTGAACAGGAATCCGGCTCCTGCGAATGCTACGGCGTTGAATAATCCTCCGACTACAACACTTGTCATTTCCTTTATTTAAATGGATCATCCGGTACTAGTTTTTTGAATTGTAAGTAGTGGACTCCGACCGCACCGGCTCCAAGAGCTACGGCTAGTTTTAGAATTCCCTTCGGACTACTAGGTACTCCGAGACTATCCCCTGCAAATTTTTTGCTTATCACGGACACAGCGACTGTTCCGAGTGTAATAAGTCCGGCATCAAAGGCTTCGTTCATAAAGTCTTTTCTATCTCCCATTGTTTATTATATGGTATTTATTTTTTCTTTTTGTATTCATTGTACAGGAAGTAGGTTAATGCCAGTGCTAAAATCCAAAGATTCTTCGCAAGGAAGGCAATACCCTTTGCCCCCCATCCTAGAACCTTGGCGATGAGGTTCAGTACGGATGCTAGTACGGGTCCGACCTTCCCAGCTAGGTTTGCCACTGCTTTTGCAAACTTGCTCGTTGCTCTCGCTCCCTTTCTTACTGCGCTTCTGGCTCCCATAATAATCGTGGTGATGATACCCGCTACAGATATTGCTACGGCTGATATTCCAGCTATATTTTCTTTTGTCCATTTCTTGAATCTTTCAAACCACGTAAGATCGCTTATTTCCGTTTCCTCTTCCACGATGGATAGGGCTTTCGGTCCTTTTGGTCGTTCGTTTGATCTTAACCTTATCTCATCCGCTTTTAGTTCTGCCATGTCTGCCATTGCTTCGTACAGGAGAGCCTTTTGTTCACGTCCTGCAGTTCGTTCGATTCTAGCCAGTTCTTTCCAGTGGTTTCTTTCTACTCCAAGATACTCAATCTTTTGTTTACCCGAGTTTCCTTTTACATTCAGAATACCTCTCAGTTCCCTTAGTTCGTTCTCCGTTATAATTGTACTATTACCGATGGCTTCGCTTTGATTAGACAGTTCATCATCCATTCTTTCGATGATATTTTCCAGTACGTTATCCACAAGTTCCTGAGGAGCATCTAAATTCTGTCGTTCAAGTTGTTCCTCTACCAAGGCTGCAGGTGTTTTTGAATGCTCTATTTTAGCTTTCCTGATCAGTTCTTTGTATTCATTTACGACGGATTCCTTGTTCTTATCCGCGGAGTATATCATTTTACCATTCTTCGAGATAATGATCTTGACATCTTTGAATGTAGCACCGTTAATTTTTGTTCCAGCCTTATTTACGGTCAGTTTCATTTTGTCAAAGATGATGGTGGAAGATGGACCGTCTCCCTTATTGATATTTACTCCTAGTTCCCTTTTGAGGAAATCCTTTTTATCCAGAGTATAGGCTCGTTTCATTACCCCCAACATCCCGTCTGATTTTTGGTGTGGAACCGCTGGGTCTTGATCCGTCAACGTCCGGATTAAATCCGATGGGAATTAATATACTTTCGTCCCGTCTTCACCTGTCGTCGTCAATGAAACTTGTTCCTTCCTCCGCCGTTTCGACTTCTTCGGCTTCGCGATCGTTGTCGCGGTTTGTTTCCTCTAGTTCAATGTCAGCCATTTATTTTATATCCTTAATATTTTCTTCAGGAATCCAGGAATTGTGTTTACTATCGTATCCCAACCACTTGACCAGTACCATACCCTTTCTTCTTCTCAGAATTTTCTCCACCCTATACATATCGTCCTTTTTGTCTACAGCGGATAGTTCCTCTTCGTAAAACTTTCCGATGATCGGTTCTCCGTCATGACTTTCTATTTCGTACATGTTAGGATCCCCTCTGAATACTTTTACAACTTTGAATATCTCTTCCGTAAAGTTTGCTTCGTATCCCTTGGTAAAGATATTCTTATACTTCGTTATTTGGACCGTGTCGTCAACCCTAAACTTTGGTAATGGAAATTCTCCTAATCCGTAACCGTATAGTGTGATCCATACCTGGTCCTTGTTCGACTTGTTTACGTCAGCGGGTCTCATTAGTACGGTGGCCGATAAGGGCCACCTCTGCTGCATGGAAACGCGACTGTGCTGCATGGAAATGCAACTGTGCTGCAAGGAAACACGACTGTGCTGCATGGAAACACAACTGTGCTGCATGGAAACACGACTGTGCTGCATGGAAACATGACTGTGCTGCATGGAAACACAACTGTGCTGCATGGAAATGCGGCTGTGCTGCATGGAAATGCGACTGTGCTGCATGGAAATGCGACTGTGCTGCATGGAAATGCGGCTGTGCTGCATGGAAATGCGACTGTGCTGCATGGAAATGCGACTGTGCTGCATGGAAATGCGACTGTGCTGCATGGACATGCGACTGTGCTGCATGGAAACG